GGGAGAAAATTACTATATGAAATATGATTGTATAATGTGTATTATACACAGTGTAATAAAAATTTAAAAAATAGGGTCATGATAATATGTTATAAGAATATTTTTTGTTCTAATATAAGACTACCTGATTGCTATTCATATTACAGTGTTTAAGTTTACGATATTCCTGTATTTGTCTGAAATAAGGAGATCCACAAAACCAGAAATATCCAATGAGGCTGCAAAGTGAATGTTCAAGCTGATTGTTTGCTATGATGAAATGACCTTTACTGAATTTATTTAAATCCAGCTGTAAATCAGCCAGCCTAATTAGCTGGGTATTTTCCTTTGAGATTGAATCATGACATTCCCTCTCCCCTTGAAAGTTTTGATTTATGATTTTTCACAAGATGAAGTGCCTCCATATCATCCTTATAGGTGCATATGCACCACTTGAGAATACATAGCACACTAACATCTCAGATATTTGTTCTTAAAGTAGGATTAACCAACTTCTATAGGTATAGAGGCCAATATTCACCTTTAGTGGAGCACATTACATCATTTTTAAATGAAAATCAACCCAAAATTGCACCAGCAAGTTATTTCTTGTGACTCCCATGTTCCTTGGCCATTTTTAGAGAGTTGTGGTAGATAAGGAGAAGTAATTGACCATTTTGTGGTCAATTATTTCAAAATTATTCCTACTCCAAGATTATGTTTTAATTTTGGTGAGTCTGGTGGCTATGGAACAAAGCTCATATTGATCACAAAAACAAAAACAAAAACATGGGGCCATATGGAAGTCATGGGGCCATAAATTATCACCACTACTCTAAAGGTCTGAGTTGGTGTTTCTCTATCCAACCTCAAAATGTTGTCTAAAAGTAAACTCATACACCAGTTTAACTGTCAACTGATGGACAAATGTTTCTACACTAAAGTGTTAAATTCTAAATGCAGCCTTGATTTCAAATGATTCTATCCTAGTCTCTTTCAGAATTCCATAACTGTTTCATCCAGCAGAAACCTTCATTATTTTAAGACCACTCATCCTTTCAAAGACTAACTGGGAGGGAATCATCCAGCAAGTGATTTAAACAGCAACCAAATGTGTCCACATAACAAGGTAGATGGATCTGAGTGGGAGTTAATTGCTAAGCAGAAAGAGTGTAACGATTAGTAAGCTGGGGGGTGGGGGCTAATGAATATAGAACAGTCAAAAGTTAGCTAAGGATCAACAAAGATTTCTATAGTTCTGGGAACCATATACTTCATTCAAATGCTCATTTCATATCTCAGAAATAGAAAATAAATAAAGGTAAATAAATAAAATAAAGTAAATAAAGTCCATGGTGCCAACTTCTTTCTTTCAGTTATTCTCAAAGGTGCTACAAGATCTCTTTACATAGTGATTCTACATACTAACATGGCTATACCTTTGAAAGGTAGAACAGTTCATTAATATAGCCTAAATGAAATTTAGGTATGCAATTATTCAACAGTTTTATTCTCAATGGAAGCAATGAATATTTGTTGCCATTTTCGTCTTGCTGAGAGAGTCTTCAAAACAATTTCCAAACTATTCACAATTTTGGATTATTTTGTGCAAATCTGCATGTATTGTTTCAAACAGAAAACAGCATTTTCTGTGCATGAAATAATATTTCTCTGCAAAAAACAAAACAAAACAAAAAAACCTCTGTCAGAAAATGCTGTTTCCTATGCAACACAACCATATGCAAACTGCAAAAAAATGCTCATCCATCCAGAATTCCTCTTGACAAGGTTGCTTGACATTTGGAACCTTTTTGTGTGGAATCATTTATAAAATATTCTAGTATATTCTTTCTATTTCCAGTGGACTTTTGCACCAGTCATGCCTGTAAGCTTTTTGTTGTGCCAAAGAGGTGGATAGAATTAAGAAATTTCATGTGGAAGGGGGGGAAAAAAAGACTGATGTGAATAGTAACACTCTAAGGGTAATTATGGAAAGGAAGAAGTAGGAAAATGGATCTTATTTTTATGTGGAACTTACCTGGGTGTGTACTATGTCTGGGACAAAATAACACAAGTGTCTATTTTGCATGTTGTAAATGTATTGAAAAATAAGACAAACAGCATATAGATGTATTGTTTATAGAGAGAGAGAGAAGAGAGTGAAAGAGAAAACACATATAAAAAGTACTGTTTCTTTGTCTCGGGGTCTCCCATTAATTCATTCCACAGTTTTCTATGTGCATCCAGTAACAAGTAAATAAGTTCTCCTGGAAACAGTAACTGCAGAGCAAAAACACACAAATTATTAGCAAGAATAAGAGAAATATGATAATGAATATTGAGCAGTTCATACACCAGGAGGTTTTTTAA